TGTGTTAATTGGTTTCCCTTTTCTTTGTTGAAGAGGGTCTGTGCAATCCTTCTGCCTAGTCCGCCATCTTGCCCCGCCTCTAGGCATTTTCTTTCAGTTAAAAAAGCATGCCAGGAGTGATAGAGAAACTTGGTCTAACTTGTAAACAGGTACTATCCTACATTGCATATAAGCTCTATACTTAAAAGACATTTTTATGTTTTTCTTGGTTAGTATTTGGTGGTTCTCTGTTGTTACCTTTTATGTTAGTACAGTGAAGATCTGACTTATTTCAGGAAAACTCCTAAGTTTCTGTCACATGGTTTAAGGGATGCTTATTGCTTATTAAAAAAAATTCTTTGAAGTCACATAGTTTCCTTAAATTGCAACTTAGCTTCATGGATTTGAAATAGAGTCATTGTTTGTAGAATTGAGAGATACCTGAGAATGTCCTAGTCTAATCTTCCACACAAACAGAAAGTCCTCCTGAGGCTTCTCTGGCAGTTGTTGTGCCTCGAAGTGTCTCTGCGTCTGGTGACAAGTTTCTCACTAGCTCCTGTGTGAGTCATTGTTCCCAAACTGTGTCATTGAAAAGTTCTTTCCAGTATTGAATTGAACCTAACCCCTTTGGTGATTTATTTCTTCTGGAGCCTTCCAGATCTTGTCTCTATGCATAAAGCAAACCTTCAGATATAGTAAGAATCTTTCCATGTTAGTTTCTTCTCCAGGCTAAACTTTCTCTCAGGTGATGTGGTTTCCAAATCCCTGAATTTTCTTCAAGGTGCATTCCTAAGTGTACCTGCCCATTGCATATTTTCTGTTTTCTCTGTTAAAACTTCAGATCCCTTTCTCCTAAGGTGGTTTCTTTTTCTTTCCCTCGGTAACAGGAATTAAGTGAATGACAATAGTATTTCTTGCTGTATCTCCCACATACTAAGTTATTAAACAATCAGGAAGGCATTTGTCAAATGCTTTCTTTTAAGAAATTCCAAGCAGAATGGCTCATCCCCATCACTACGCTAGCTTTCTGCTTTGTGCCAATTTTAGGATGCTTTGTAGATTGGTAGCATATTCTGGTCTATAGAAACTATTTCAGAATTGCTGTGATCTCACAGAAATGATTTGGACAGTGTGTTCTGGGCACATCTAACCTTTGTGCTAAGAGTTTTACAGTGCCTCACTGCCTTCTAAACTGGAGTATTTCCATTTTGGTTATCGTATAGTACTCTAAAATGTCTCATAATTACAGATTTTCTGCCGAGGAACTGAGAGAAAATTTGATCTTTCCTGGAGTGAACTAAAGAAAGAAGTGACTTTGGCTGTTGAAAGTGAGGTGAGTTTGGGTAGAGAAAGGATGCTACCTTCTTCATCTGGATATGGGCCAGTTAGCATGGAGAGATGGTTTGGATTGTTCACTTGACTTTGTTACTGGGAAGTATAAATGTTCAAACCTTTTAATTGAAGAAGTAGATCTAATTTATGTAGTCTGTGACATGTAATTTGTAAGGACTATTCATTTGGCTGTAGCTTAGTAAAATACTGTGGAACCTGTGAGAGCTGGAACTCACAGGGACTGCCTTGTTTTTCCAGGTCTCACAAGTTTCCCACCTTTGACAAAGTGCAGTCTTACCGCTTTGTTCCTCATTTAGTTAGTGGAAAATATTCGTGTTTTCCTTCTCTGACATGTTTCCACTTTGCATAGGTTCTGGCTTTAATAGGTTTTGCTCTAATATTGGACAGTTACATTCTTTGGAGAGAAAGATCCTGAGTGGTATCAAGAGTTTAATTTCTTTTTCTTTCCTTTATTTTTTTCTTTTACCAGCTCCAAGGAAATGTGACAGAGTATGAATTCTCACAGGAGGAATTCCGAAATTTACAGCAGGAGTTCTGGTGCAAGTTCTATGCCTGTTGTCTTCAGTATCAAGAGGCCCTCTCGCGCCCCCTTGCCCTGCTTTTGAACCCACACACAAACACGGTGTGCCTGCTGAAGAAGGTGAGGAGCCACAGCATACAGAACTCCTTCCAGCCCTTCCCTGGACCCTTCAGGACGTTACTCTGTTACAGGTTGTGGTTAGCCTCTAGGACTTTGTATTTTTATTTTTTTTCTAAGTTTATTGTAGTTTAGCATTATTGTGTATACCTTTATTTATCATTTTGTTATTTGTTTACTTCTTGATTGAAGTAACTTCGCACTTACAGCACGATATGAGGACAACTTGACATTTGCATTTCCTTCTCTATACACACATATTTTCTTCCTAACCACTTGAAAGTTGCAGCCAGTATGCCCCATTACCTTTAAATACTTCAGCATCCATCTACGAACAAGAGTGTGCTCTTATATAACCGTAGCACAATTTAAAAATCAGGTGATTTGATACTGGCAAATTATACTTGTAAGACCTGGACAAACTAGGCAGTCCCTGTGAGTTGCAGCTCTCACAGGTTCCACTGTATTTTACTAAGCTATAGCCAAATGAATATTCCTTATTTTGGCAGTTGTGCCTATGGATTTTCTTCCTGTTCCAGGATCCAATCCCAGAGTATGCATCTATTTCATTGTCATGTTTCTTCAGCTTAATCTTAAACCATTGTCAGCCTTTCTTTGTCTTTTATGACATTGACAGTTTCTGAAGACTATAAACCTATTGTATAGACTGTCCTTTGATTTGGGTTTGTCTGCAATTTCTTCATGATAAGATTCTTGTCTTTTAATTATTTTATGCTTTGAAAAATTAACTGACAAAAATGTGTGATTGTAAGATTTGTACTTCCAGGGATACCTGTCTTTCCTTGTGCCCTCTTCATTAGTGGATCATTTGTATCTCCTGCCTGATGAGAACCTTTTGACAGAGGATGAGACAGCCATATCTGATGGTAACAGTAATTGTTATACCCATATTTCATTACCTTCCTGCATAAACCCTGTGTTTTATTTCAAGTGGATGCAAAACATTGATAGCCAGTTGCAGCGATTACTCTAAAGCCTAGTTGATGAAAGGGTAAGGGAATAGATCAACTAGGGAAATGAAACACCCTGAATGGAATTAATGAGAATGTTAACACATTACAAAAAATGTAACCAGTGTCACTGAACCATTTCAGTATAATTGTTAAATGGGAACCTAATTTGCTATGTAAACTCTAACCAAAATCATTATAAAGTATTATTTAAAATAAGGAACATCAATTACACTCTAACTTTTTCTGGTCAATTTACCACATTGTAAGTTACTTCAAGGAAAACTATAGAGGCTAAGCATCTCCAAGATGTCAGATAGATCCCTTGGCATTTAATTCTTAACATTTTATTCTAATGAAGTATTTATCAGTAGTTCTTCATGGCCTATGACCTGAATGTTAATTTTCTCTTTCTTAGATGTGGATGTTGCTCGGGATGTTACATGCCTTATAAAATGCCTTCGGATGATTAGAGAATCCTTAACTGTGGATATGTCGATTATGATGGAGATGAGTTGTTACAACCTACAGTCTCCAGAGAAGGCTGCAGAACAGATTCTGGAAGATTTGATCACTATTGATGTGTAAGGAGAATTTAGGGTAAAGTGCATTTCCTAATGGAAATTCAGCAATTTTTAGTGCCAAAATCAGGCTCTTAATGTATATTCAATTATATGTCAAACAGTAGCTTAAAGGAGGTTGCCATGATTCTAAGTAGATGTTTCAGCTTTTAAACAGAATATCTAGCACACGATTTCAAGTGTGGAAACAGACTTATAAAACACGTCCAGCTTCTGTTAACTGAGCTATACATTCTGAAAAGTAAAAGTGTTTTTCTCACATTCAACTTGGCTGTCATTTCTGAAAAACTGAGAAGATATTGGTACATACAGTAAAAATAGCTTCTGTTGTCCCAGGATGTTTATCTCAGTTTTTAAAAATGTAACTCCTTTATTATGTGGTTGGTTTTCCTCTTTCGTAGAGCATATAGCTTACAGGTCACAGAGCTTGTCTTAGTATTCTCAGTTGTAATAGGACTTTTCTATTGTTCTTACAGAGAAAATGTGATGGAGGATATTTGTAGTAAACTGCAAGAGATTAGGAACCCAATCCACGCCATTGGACTTCTTATACGAGAAATGGACTATGAAACAGATGTAGAAATGGAAAAGGGATTCAATCCAGGTAAATGACAAAACAGCAACTAGGCCTCTGATTTATAGTCAACAGTGATACGTGAAACTCTGGTTTTTTATGTTGCTTTTTTCTTATTATAGCTCAGCCTTTGAATATTCGCATGAATCTTTCCCAACTTTATGGTAGTGGCACAGCCGGGCATATTGTGTGCAGAGGTGTGTGTAAAATTGCCAATACTCGCTTCCTGATCTGCCGAGACCTTTTGATCTTACAGCAGCTGTTAATGAGGTTAGGAGATATGGTAAGTACTAGTTGAGGAACATTTATAAAATCTAAAATCTGGTACAGACCTAGGGGCATGTTGCAGAATATCAGCTGTGTGAACACAAAGACTTTTGTCTTTGTCCATGGCTCTGTCCCCCAAGCTTGGTACTTAGTCCTGCTATATAAATATTTGTTAAATTGAGAATGAGTGAACAATTGTAATGTAAAATTACAATTGAAGAATCTGTATGAGGCAGATTGTTGCACTGTTTACCTATACATGAAGAGTGCTGGAAAGATTTCCAAGATTGGTTCCCTCGACATTAGTTTGAGTTGTACAGCTCTGGGTGTGACATCAGGACACCAGTTAGTAAGGCTGCACTGGGTATGACGGCAGGGCGCCGGTTAGTGTGGCAGTTCTGGGTGTGACAGCAGGGCGCCGGTTAGTGTGGCAGCTCTGGGTGTGACGGCAGGGCGCTAGTTAGTGTGGCAGCTCTGGGTGTGACGGCAGGGCACCACTATGACTGCTCTGGGTGTGAAGGCAGGGCACCGGTTAGTGTGGCTATGGTGGGTGTGACGGCAGGGCACCAGTTAACATGGCTGCATTGGGTGTGATGGCAGGGCGCTGGTTAGCGTGGCTGTGGTGGGTGTGACGGCAGGGCGCCAATGTGGCTGCAGTTGGTGTGACGGCAGGGCACCAGTGAGTGTGGCACAAAGAGGAAGAAGAACTTCTCTCTCCTTTGTTTAGCACAGGGCTTAACCCTGAGCACCGTTTTGAGATGGCAAAATTTCACATTATCCCAGTTCCATTTCTGTGCTTTCTTTTCTATTCTGTTCTTAGTGCACCAGACTTTTGTTGTCCTCATACAGTCCTAGTTCCCTATACTATTGAATGTTTCATATAAAACGTTTAATAAAAAAAAAAATGTTTAATAAAAATTGCTTTTCTGCCCCACGGTCAAAAGTCCAGTTTGTCTCTGTGTTGGTAATCAGAGCCTGGTGAGGAAGCAATCTGATTAAACGAATTAATATTTATGTGTAAATAACTGTATAAATACCTCTGGGGGCACCTAGAGAAGTAAGAACCTTACCCTCTGTAAGGGTACCTAGTCCTTACTAAGCTCTTTTTAATCTTTCTTCACTTTAAAAAAAAAAAAAAATTTTGAACTAACATTAATGTTTTTTTCTAAACACAGAAGGGTGTATTAGATGTTAATTGTAGAACCTGTGTAAAATATATGTAAGCAAAAACAAAGTAAAAATTTATCTGTAATCTACCTAGTGATAACCACTGTGTTTTGATATATACCCTTTTTTTCATACAAATATTTTGTTGTTCACAAAATTAGAGTATGTTGTGTATATTGTTTTGTAATGTGGGTTTTTGTATGCTTCCACTTTACAGATAACATTAGCATTTTCCTATGTCATTAAGTATTCTTCTACATTATTTTTAATAGTTATCTAGTATAATTATTATCTATTCAGCAAGTCCCCTTGTGGCCATCCAGGATTTTCCCTCATAGTTACAGCTTTATGTACATCTTTGATTGTCTTTGGGATAAAGTCTATTAGAATTGATTGGTCTTAAGATAAGTAGTACATTTTTGAGAATTCTGATAGGATTGTCCAACTTATCTCTACATAATTTTTATCTAGCAGTGTGAAAGAAGACTTAGGTTTCTCTATTCCTCCTCTTCAATTCTGAACCCACAGATTGAATGAAAGTTAAGCTCTTTGTTGTTTTCTTTTTTACCATTAGCTCTCCTTACTTGGTGAGCTATTTGTGATTATTTTGGACTGTTAAATGTTTGAGAAGATATTTTTACCACTTGCTACCCCAATATATAACAGGCATATTACTTTTATAATAATCTGTCCTTTAACTACCTTTGTTATTTTACCCTCACCTGAACCTTAACAGTTACTATTACTAATTGCTTTTGTTTATCATCTTACCCATCCTACCCCCATGTATAGGTGATTTTGGGAGCTGGTCAGCTCTTTCAAGCTCAACAAGACCTGCTGCATCGAACAGCTCCCCTGCTCTTATCTTACCACCTCATTAAGTGGGCAAGTCAGTGCTTGACAACTGACGTTCCAGTTGATACACTGTGAGTTTCATTTAAAAATAATTAGTTTAATTATTTTTTTCATTATCTTAAAATATTATTTAAAAATAAAAATGTTTTGCTGTAACATGATTTCCCTTTAAGAGGCTTCATTTTTTAGAGGGTGAAAGCAACTTACAAGAATGAATGGAGATTCATAAAATTGGTTCTCTATGGCAAAACCATGGTATAAGACCTAAGGGTCAACATTTACTCTTAAAAGATGAGAAGATAAGTACTAGAGCACTGGAAATGGAACAGCCAGAACACAATCAGAAAATGTTGGCACACTGTGAAAAATGTAACCAATGTCACTGAACAGTTGGTATGGAAATCATCAAATGGGAACCTAACATTTCCTGGAAATGCAATAAAATTTTATTTTAAAAATAAATAAAATCAACTGTATTACAAAAAATAATAATAGATTGAGGTTGATTTTAAATGTACAGATAAATTACTTTGAAGGAAAAGTAACAAGATGAGACCACAGGCAAAGTTAGACCACACACAAAAAGCTTTTCTGGTTATTAAAGATAGGCTAAGATTGTTTGCAACCAAGGAGAGAAAGAAAATCCAATAATAACAAAGTCCATATTTTCACTAACATGAACTATTCTGTTGGCTCTGGCAAGGTTAAGTGTTTCCTGGCATGGCGGTCTACGAGAAACCTCTTCTTTGGTTCCTCACTGAAGAATCACTGAGCAGTGCAGTGGGCAAAAATCTGATTCACGACATGCTTCCCAGTTCTCTGTGTGCTTGCAGTGGAGCTTTTCTGTGCCTCTATTGATTAAACTGAGCATATTCACAATAGGATAACTTGTTGAAGTAGTATTTGGCATGTAGAATTTATTAAGCTGCCTTTTTCCCTTTCCCTACAGGGAATCTAATCTCCAACACTTATCAGTACTGGAACTAACTGACTCCAGTCCTTTAATGGCAAATAAATTTGGTAAGTACTAGGCTGTGTGTGCAATTGATTTAAATTTGGAATCTGTTGCATATTCATTAGAAGGATCTGTTGCCACCTTTGCTGTGGAGAGATTGGCTGGGCTGTTTGCTCTCACTTGGAGAATATGAGCAGCCTATGGCCTGAGACCTCTGGTTATGGCAAGGAGTCCAAGAGGCTGTAGAGCCGTGATTTTAAAATCATTTTAAAAACTTACTGAGTTCGTAGTAACTTTTGTGTTCTTACCTTTTCTTAGTCAACCAATGTTTGAAAGGAATCCTCCTGCTTAAAAACATTGTCAACCACTGTTATAAAGGATTTCTTTTGAATTGTTTTGGTATGGACCCTGAAATCATAGTACTTAAATCTATTTTATTTATTAGAAAACTTGGCGGCAAAGCAGGACTTCCCAGCTGATTTGAACCAGTTCAGTCATAGCTGATATGGTGAAATCAGAACAGACCTAAATTTTAAAATTAGGTGAAGTGGAACAGTAATTGGAACAGGAAAAATTACGGATTGAAGCTCTGGGATAGAAAACTTGGATGAGGTCTGGTGATCCCTCTCAGAGCCTCATGCAAGCAACTGGATTATTGCTAGGACTGTGGAGCGTGACACACGTTCAAGCAGCACAGTTGGCCCTGAGCACCATTATTTCCAGCTCAGCCTGTCCAGAGATTTGGTTGCTATGCAGTACACACATTGCCCTTATTTTTTAAGAGGGCAGTCAAGTTTCTAGGAGGGCATCAGCCCATAGTTTTTCCTATTCTGGGTATCAATCCAGTTCACCCATCTTCTACAAATTCGGATCCATTCTAGTTTCACTTCATCTGCCATGACTGAACTGGAAAGAACCAGTTTGAAGCCCTGTAGCAAAGGCACTTAGTACGAGATTTTGTTGTTGTTGTTGTTGTTATGTGCCGTCGAGTCGGCCCCGACTCATAGTGACCCCTCCTTGGGTTTTCGAGGCAGTATCACTACGGAAGTAGGATTGCCCAACCTTCCTTCCGAGGAGTGGCTGGTGGGTTTGAACCGCCAGCCGTCTGGTTAGCAGGCAAGTGACTTAGCCACTATGCTACCAGAGCTCTTAGTACGAGATTAGTGGAAAGAAATGACTGCAGTGTTGATTTAGGTGGCTTTTTTTATTGCATTTTATATAGTACTTAACAGTTTACAAGTTTCTTTTATTTATATTGAAGGAGCTCTTGTGACACAGTGGTTAAGGCATTCAAGTGCTAACAAAAACGCTGATGGTTTGAATGCATCAGCTACTCCATAGGAGAAAGATGAAGCATCTGATTTCGTAAAGATATGAGTTGGAATTGACTCGGTGGTAGTCAGTTTAGTTTGGTTTATTTATATCACCATTGATTACACTCATGGTACCTTTTCTGTTTTCAAATAATGAGTATTATTTGCTGTAGACACAATGAATTGTTACACTGTCTTAATTGAAAATGGATGTTACTATCACAAGCTTGTAATGGTTGTTCTTACTTTCCCTTTTTAAGTATCTGGCCCTCAAACAATTGTGGAGTTATTCTTCCAAGAAGTTGCAAGAAAACACATTATATCTCATCTCTTCTCTCAACCAAAGGCATCTCTGAGCCATACTGGGATGAATTGGCCTGAAATGGTTACTGCAATTACCAGTTATTTCCTGCAGCTTTTGTATCCTTTTCCTCAAACGTTGACAAGTTTCTTTTATCTCTATAATCTAAGTATTGAAGGCTTTTAGTGAAATTGGGTCCTTGCCACCTTTAACGAGAGATGGTGGTGTTGTTGTTAAGTGCCGTCAAGTCGTTTCCGACTCATAGCGACCCCATGCACAGCAGAACGAAACACTGCTCGATCCTGCACCAGCCCCATAATCCCTGCTATACTTGAGCCCATCATCGTAGCCACTGTGTCAATCTATCTCGTTGAAGGCCTCCCCCTCTTTCATCAACCCTCCACCCTACCAAGCATGACATCCTTCTCCAGGGAATGGTCCCTTCTGACAACATGACCAAAATAGGTGAGACGAAGTCTGGCCATTCTTGCTTCCAAGGAGCATTCTGGCTGCACTTCCTCCAGGACAGATCTGTTAGTTCTTTTAGCAATCCATGGTACTTTCAGCATTCTCCGCCAGCACCACAACTCAAAAGCATCAACTCTTCTTCGGTCTTCCTTATACAAGAGATGGTAATGTTCTTCATTTTCAAATATATTCCCAATTGTTACTTGATTTTGCTTTTTTGCTCAGGAGTTTAGCCAGATTTTATTGGTACACATATATTCAATACCTAGATCATATTTAAGGCAGCATTCAGCAAATTCATTCATTCAGCAAATACTTATTAAATGTTTGAATGGCTCTATATGCCATTCAATACAGATGCTAAAGTATGCATCTTCAGTATACCGGCTAGAAATAGAGATGTCCACCAGTGATGAAATACATGCATTAGCCCATAATTAACTTAGTTCCAAGCTAGGCAGCTAGGTTCCTGGTACATACCTTCTTCACTGTACATACCGTCCCTGGGTTATAAGCAATATCCATTCCTAACTGTCCAAGTCAAATTTGTAGGTGGGTAGGAACAGGTACATACATTTCTTATTTAGTCTTACTTTAGTGCAAGAAAGGAGCTCTAGTGCCTAAGGCATTTGACTACTAACCAGAAGGTTGACTGTTCAAACCAGCCAGCCACTCCTTGGAAGAAAGACTGGGCAATCTACTTCCGTAAAGATTTGCCGCCTCAGAAACCCAAAGGGGTACACTATGAGTCAGAATAGCCTCAATGGCAGTGAGTTTGTTTTTTGGTTTTGCAGTGTAAAAAAATGCCTTTTCAATGATTTACAAACTGTCCATGCAGCAAGTGAAGGTGATTGTAATGAAGAATCTGTTGCTGGTAGATGTTGGTTCAGTCCCTTCAAACTGAGGGCAAATTTACGTGACATTAAAGGGTGAGCTCAAGTTGTCCATAAGTCACATGTTCGCAACCTGGGGGACTACCTATGTTTGTCTTGTATTAGTGTTACGTGTAGATGTAGGAAGAACACATGCTCTGTTGCCTTCTTCCCGCGCCCCCCCCCCAAAAATGTCTTATTTCTTAGATTGTTTTGAGTTTGATATCCAACATGTGTAATATGCCAAAAATGAAAAAAATCTCCTTATCTGTTGACTAGATGGCCTAGCAATCCTGGTTGTCTCTTTCTAGAATGTTTGATGGGAAATTGTCAGTATGTACAATTGCAGGTGAGTGCTGCTAAACATCTCAGGTTCTTATAAAAAAATGGAATTTCTGGATTTTTTAAATTTGTAATTTTAACTGCATTGTAGTAAGACTGGTAAAGATCTGTGTTAGGTGAGGAGTCACAATAATTTAAATTGATTGTACTAAGACCTCAGATTTTCTTATTTCTTGACAGTATCATTCTTGAAATCATTTTTCTAGAGAATCTTTTTTTTTTTTTCCTCCACTTCCTTTGTTAGTTTCTTTTTTGACAGTACAAGCATACCACCATTGTCTTCAAAGAAATTTTTTGCTGGAATCTAGTCATTGAACCAATAAATATCAAAAGTTGGAAATTGCTGAGATGAAGGTTGTAGGAAGGGTACTAGATTCCCATTTGCTTTCTTAAGATATGTAATTCATAGGTAGACATGCAAGCTGAATAGTTGTAGAAAGATGAATGGGAATATATATGGTAGAGGATAGTTTTACATATGTATTGGGATCTGCTGCAAATATTTCCACGGGTATAATAGAGCTTTTTGGGGGGGAACTTCTTCGCCATCACCAAATACTTTGAGGGAATGAGTCACTGGGCTTGAGGACTTAGGACCACAGTCTTAGGGGACAGGTAAGTCAATTGGCATAACATAGTCCACAAAGACAGTGTTCTACATCCTACTTTGGTGAGTAGCAACTGGAGTCTTACAAGGTTGCAAGTGTCCATCTAAGATGCAACTATTGGTCTCTCCCTGTTTGGAGCAAAATATGAAGAAAATCAAAGACTCAAGGAAACGGTTGGTTCAAAGGACTATTGGACCACACAAACCACAGCCTCTAGTACCCTGAGACCAGATGAACTGGATGGTGCCTGGCTACTACTACAGACCACGCTGATCAGGATCACAGTAGGAAGTCCTGGACAGAGTGGGAGGGGAAGAAAACATAGAACAAAATTCAAAAACATAAAAAAAAAAAAAGACCAGGCTTATTGGTCTGATGGACTGGTAGGACCCCCAAGACTGTGGCCCTTGGATATCCATTAAACTCAGAACCAAACCTACCCCTGATGGTCACCTTGCAGCCAACAGATGGGCATGAACAGTAAAACCAGGGAGGACTGTACTCCTCAGATCAACCATGTGAGACCAAAAGCAGCATTTTCCTAAAAACAAAGCTCAGAAGACCAGAAGGGGCTGGAAAGAAGGACTGATGAAAACAGGGAACCCACGGAGGAAGTGGGAAGAATGATATTACATTGTGGGAATTGCAAACCATGTCACGAAACAAAACGTATGTAAATTGTTGAATGGAGAACTTATTTGCTGTGTGAACTTTCATCCAGCGGCAATAAAATGTTCAAAGAGATGTCTAACTTAAGAATAGATGCACAGGACTGGGGTTTAATCTCTGGAGAACGTCAGGAAGTAACACTTTTGTGGCAGATGAACACTATTTCTCTCCCTCTAAAGAAAGACTTGGAAGTGAGTATCTCCTTAAATAGCATTTATTTTCTAATCAGAATGCTCCTTTTATGCCCTAAGGATTATATTCAACAACTACATCCCTGGTGTCAGGTCAATGTTGGTTCCTGTCGATTTATGCTGGGACGGTGTTACCTGGTTACAGGAGAGGGACAAAAGGTAAACTATTTGAATGATTAATGAAAAAAATTTCAGTGCAAGGAGGACACTGTAGTTAGTTCTGTCTGACTAGGTTGTGGGGGATGAGTCGAAGAATCTTCTACTAAGGATAAAAAAGGCTGTGCTAGTGCCAGCAGAGGGCCTCATGTAAGCAAGAGGCCTGCTCAGTTTCATATGCTTTGTGGCATAGTTAGGACACGGAAATATGAAGAAGAAAGAGGAAAACCCTCCTCCCGCCCATACAAGTGTTTTCAGATAAACATTTTTGTAAATTTAACTTGTTAATTACATTGTTTTCATTATATCTTTTTAGGAGGGGGTAGTTTATGCCACCTTTTTTCTCATTATGGTAGCTTACATTTTAATTTTTCTCTGACATTGCATTATGCAGATTTTAAAATAAAAAAATTTTATCATGAACAATCATAAAATCACCACTCAATTCTACAATTATTAACTTATTACTACAGTTGCTTTATTATATATTTGTCTGTCTATGATCAAGACCCTGGTAGCGCAGTGCCTACAGCATTTAACTGCTAACCAGAAGGTTGGTGGTTCAAACCCACCAGCCACTCTGCAAGGAAGATGGGACAATCTGCTTTGGTAAAGATTTACCACCTTGGAAACCCAATGGCGGTCGTTGTGAGTTGGAATCAACTTGATGGCAATGGGGTTTTTTTGGGTATCTATGATCAGTCCACTTATTAAAGTTTTTAATTAATAGAATTTAAATTTTAAGAAAGGGAGGTAAATTATAGAAGATAATGTCAGATACTGCTAATCAGAAGGCTGGTGGTTCAAACTCACCAGCCACTCCTCAGAAGGAAGATGGGGCAATCTACTTCCATAGTGATACTGCCTTGGAAACCCAAGGAGGGGTTGCTATGAGTCAGGTCCGAGTCAATGGCACTTAACAGCAACAACGTCAGATAGACTATAGATATGGCACAAACTGTGAATGTAGTAGACTGTCTTAAATAATTTTATCTTGTTTTTGGCTTCCTTAGTATTTAATCCCTGGTTTATAACACCTAGAATTAAAAAAGTGATTATAAGTCACTTTGTGTTCTTCTATTTTTCAGGCTCTGGAATGTTTCTGCCAGGCAGCATCTGAAGTAGGCAAAGAGGAATTCTTAGATCGCTTGATCCGCTCAGAAGATGGGGAGATTGTGTCCACCCCTCGGATGCAGTATTATGATAAGGTACCATTGTTTAATACCAGGGATGTAGCAGTTGACTATAATCTTTAAAAGCAATGAAATGAAAAATTACCACATATAGTAACATAGATCAATCTTCTAATATTAAGCAAAAGAAGGCAGGCATAAAAGCACACGTACTAAACATTTCTGTTTTCATGAAGTTCGAAAACAAGCAGAACTAATTAATCTATGTTCTTAGAAGTCGGAAGAGTTTGGTTAGTAGTGACTGGAAGGCATCACAAAGGGGTCTTGGGGCTGCTCTTAATACTGTAATATTTGATCTGGCTGCTGGTTACATGGATATGTTTACTTTGTAAGTATTTGGTCATCTCTGTCCTTATGGTTCATATCCATTTCTAAATGTATGTTATACTTTAATAAAAAGGGTATTCTTAAATAACACAAATACTAAATTGTTGTTGTTATGTGCCATCGAGTCACCCTCGACTCATAGCGACCCCTCCTTGGGTTTTCGAGGCAGTATCACTACGGAAGTAGATTGCCCAACCTTCCTTCTGAGGAGTAGCTGGTGGGTTTGAACCACCAGCCTTCTGGCTAGCAGTCAAGTGCCTTAGGCACTACGCTACCAGAGCTCCTCAAATACTAAATACCGAGAACAAAAAGCTGTTTTATACTGTTAATGGAGAAAATTAAAAACTATTGTTTATCTTTATCTTGTTCTTTGTAAGTTTATATTTTAAGTACATTACTACATATATAAGAGAAGTGTGTGTATAACAGAAGGACATGGACACATGTTTGGGGTGTGTGCACAAATATTAATAGGGTGGACAGTCAAAAAAGTTTGAATATCATGATTCTGTGTTGTGTTAGAAAAGGATTGTGCCAAACATTTAAGTATTCTATTTAAAATTTATATAAGGAAAACTATGGTGTTAATTATATACTATGCTTTAAGTTTGTCTGTGATCTGGAAAATTAGTAGAATTGGTGTTGTGACATGAAATTGTAGTTTTTTTTCTTCATTCAACAAATATTTTTGAAAGCCTACTCTGTATCAGGCACTGATTTAGGCACCCAGGATAGAGTTAGAAACAAAAAGACCAATTCCCCACCCTCGTGGTGCTTACATTCAGGTAGGAAAGAGGCTGAATGGATAAATACACAATGTGAGGCAGTGATAAATGCTGTAAAACTAAAGATGATCAAGGGTATAAGCTAGGAAATGATAACCTTGTTAGAAGATTTATCTTAAACACCATATAATGCAGGGGAAAGAGTTCGAGCTCTGGAATCAGGACAAAGATTTGAATCTCAGCTCTCTCAACTATGTGACCTTAAGCAAGTTACTGAACTTGTCTGCACCTCAGAGTTTTCATCCATAAAATCCTCATCTGATTGCTATGAGAATACAAATAGCTGGTACCTGTAGAGTTATGCCTGGAACATAGGCCTTCAGTGTATCAAGGGGTGTGCTTTGGTCTTCCACTGTCTTAGTGAATACATGTCTCTATAATGACATAGATACATTCTTATCTTTGGGGGCTATTTCATTACTTTCTTAACACCTGACAAAGGGGAAAGGGTAATTTAAAGCTCTGTATTTAATCCCTGTATTATTATTCATTAATTGATTATTAGTTCTTGTAAAAATTTTACAGAAGAGATGTTAGGATTATCTCTTAACTTCTCTGTTCCAAATTAACAATCAAAATTTCCCTCTATCTTGGAGAGCTATTCCAATGGTAATATTTGGGTAACAAATAAAAAGTTTTGCAATAAATTTGTCTAGAACAGTAGAATCTAAAGGAAAAATAAATATTAACTAAATAATTCTATTTGTTATCAGCACCTTTGGTTTAATCTTTCTAACCTAATTATTCTTCTACTTAAGTTAAACTTAAATCAGTTAATTTGGTGTGCACTGTTGTATTAATTTTAGTGCATATTTTCTCTGTTTCTCCTTAGGTTTTACGTCTATTAGATGTTGTTGGTTTGCCTGAACTGGTTATTCAGTTGGCTACATCTGCAATAACAGAGGCAGGTGATGACTGGAAAAGTCAGGTAAGAAGTGACTAATTCAGTTGTTTTCCTGGAGGTTTGTCACAGGTGTGGTGTTTTGATTTCTGTTGCCCTTTTTTCCCAAAAATTTGACATTTAGGCTACTTTAAGGACCTGTATTTTCAAACATCATTTGGATATGGGTCACAACAGCCAAGCATATGAGGCCTTAACCCAAATTCCTGATTCCAGCAGGTAACCTCACAGCCTTTTTTAAAGAAGGCAATTTATCAGTCCTGTTTAACCTGCTAAGACTATTTACCATAGTATTCCTTTCTCTACTTCTAGGCAGTTAGATTGTTTACGGCAGCTGGTGGTAGTTCTTTGCGAGCGTTCCCAGCTACAGGATCTTGTAGAGTTTCCCTACGTGAATCTGCATAATGAGGTAATTTTCTTTATCCACTGAAGACTGGAAAAAACTGTGGTGGTTGCCAAGTTTGCTACTCACTTTGCTCTTTGCTTGTTTCCCCTTAGGTTGTGGGAATAATTGAATCACGAGCCAGAGCTGTGGATCTTATGACTCATAATTACTATGAGCTTCTATATGCCTTTCACATTTATCGCCACAACTACCGAAAGGGTGAGCTATTGAAGCAAGTTTTGTTGAGGAAACTTTGTTGATTTAATCATATTTTGTAAAAAAAATTACTGTGTTTGACTTAATGTAAGTATTACATTCCTACCACTGGGGAGAGTATTTTTTATCAGCATTTGGGGAAGTTATGTCTAAGTATCAGATTAGCTTCACCCTTTGGAAGATTACTGGTTGGCCTTGAGGGTAAGTAGACTTACTCCCATTCTAGAGGCATTTTCATGTGGTGAAGCACTATGCTGCTAGCCTAAAGGTGGGCAATTCATATTCACCAAGGAGCTCCATAGGAAAAAGACCAGTAATCTGCTTTCTTAAAGATTACAACCAAGAAAACCCTGTGGGCACTTCCATTCAGTCACATGGGGTCACATGATGTTGAAAACATTTAACAACAGAGGCATTTCCCATGAGATGGTGTTCTATGTACATCTTCTGTCCAACTATCAAGAAAACTGCAAAAAGCATGTAGTGGCAGCATGTGACCTCCTCTAACTTCACAAAGAGGGAGGAGGATCAAGATCAACAGTCCAAGGCTGGTTCCTGTGAGGTGAAGGTCAGACATGCTACCACTCTCCGACCTTTTTAACAATTCTGACATCAACCGTCCCTCCCGTGACACTCTTCTTCTACTGGGTTCAATAATTCATTGCAGTGGTCACACAGAGCTAACAGAAAATACGATCATGGGGTTTATTAGGGAAGTAACAGGTTACATACAATTCAGAATCAGGAACGTTCAGAATACAGTTCTGTGATCAGGATAGCCTCTCCTCATCCATCCCCCAGGACAGGTCTCTCTCTCTCTTGTCCTCAGCCCTTTGGCCTAGCCTCTGCCCTGCTTAGTTAGGTGAGTGTTACAAAGTTCTTTTAGCTCTGCGATAGGTGCTCAGAGAGGTACCTCACTCCCCCTGCCAGCCTTGGCCTGAAGACATTCATCTTTCTCACTCTGTGAGCCAGGAAGCTCTCTTCTCTGCCTCATGCCAGTCTCTTAGTTTTGCTGATTCTGCTGCCACCATTTCTCTGCCACTACTTCTCTCTACCTTTGTTGTCGCAGCTGTCTGTCTCTTGGATTGAAGTTCAATGCAGGAATCTTGGATCCAAAGGACACGCTACATTCTTAGCTCTTCTTTCTTGATGGTAGTGAGATTTCCCCCTTTTCCATCTCTGGGATGGATCATTTTAAGCCTGTCAAGATGGTAAAACTGACCATGAGTTCCAGCAAGATGGTGGAGTAGTAGGCAGACAAGCTGCACAGACTGTCTGGTATAAAGCAATGATAAATCAATTGAAAGCAATAGAGAAGACAGTCCTGGAACCCTGAGCTTTGGAGGGAATGATAAAGAAATGGATTAAATACCAAGTAGTTGAAGAGCCTGAATGAAACAGTGAATGAGGAGACAAATGGAGCGGTGGATTGCCAGCTGCCTTGGGGCTACAGCCATTTTGAATATTTCCTGATAGCCACCTGAGAATTGGCTCTGCTCGCTGAGGACTGCATGGGAAAGGACTCCATTGGTGCCTGACAACCAGAAAGGAAAAGGCAGGGAAGGAGCCATGCAGACCTGTGGACTGTCAGCAGCTGTCCTGAGGGTGCAGTCATTTTGAATGTTTACAGGCAGCGGGCACAGCCATTTTGGATGTATGCCAGTGGTGGTCTTACCCAGGCAGCGACATAAGAGTGGGCACCACTTGCCAGGGACAGCATGGACAACCACACTGGGGGCTGATAACTGGAAAGGTACAATATTCCCCTCATCGCTCTTATACCCCACACCTTCTTGGTGAACAGGGTGTGGCTATCCCCTGCCTCCACCCACCCTTTCTTGAACAGCAGGAATTCTATCCCGGTCTGTGCCTAAAAGAACCTGGGTGCCATGCCCACCCCCATAGTTTTGTTTAAAAATTCTTATTTTTATCTTTCTCCTTTCTTCCTTTTTTTTCCCTCATTATTTTTCTTTTATACCTTTTTAATATATTTTGAAAATTTTTCTTCTCATTTATTGCATTTCCTTTTTTTAAAAATGACTCCAGTTTGTTTATGAAGTTTGAGTTTTTTGTTCTCTTGTTTTAATTTTTTGGTTGTTTTTAAAATTTTTTTTGTCTGAGTGGGAGACAGCAACCATTCCCACACAGCCCGCCCATACCTGCACCTTCTGCAGCCCCACCGAGTGAGGGCCACCACTTGCTTTTGCACCAACTGACCAATGACAGATAGTGGCCAGTACCAGCTCAACTCACCCTCAACAGCTAACAGATCTGTGCACACACAATCATTCTCTATCACTCCCACCAGGAGACAGGTGGTGAATGCTTAAGTGCTAACAACTAGCAAATAGAGGAGTACAGTACCCTGCTTACACATATGTATCAAAACAAAATAAAGGAAAAAAAATCTTGTGCAGATTACAGCAACATAGAACCACAAATTAAACATAAATGCAATACCACCACAATGTCTTTGAGACAACAAGACCATCACAGTCTACACAAAAAAGTAAGATAAAGTAGTAGAAACAAGAAACCAGGATATAAAACCAGAAAACGTCCCCGAGGAAGAAGCAACATTGGAACTCCTAAAAAAGAAATTCAAAAGAATTATATTTAGGTACTTTCAACAGACTGAGAGACAGATCAAGGAAAACACTGAAGAGATTAAGGAAGATACTGACAAAATTAAGGAAAACACAGACAAAACTCTAGAACAGTGTGGGAAAACAATGCAAGAACAAATTGAAAAAATAAATAATTACAAACAATACAAAAACAACAAATAAATAGATATACAGAAGATTAATACTGAGATTTCAGAAATAGATAACACATTGAATGGGCAGAGGAGCAGAATTGAATCAATGGAAGATGGGATTAATGACATTGAAGATGCTACTTTGCTAAGGGATCAATCAGACACAAGATCAAAACAAAATGAAGAAAGCCTAAGATTCATGGGATGGAAGAAAGAAGGGCTGTTTATGCACAGGGAGACAGCTCAGGGGGCAGGGGTGCATGGAGGCATGGACACAGGGAAGAGGTGACTATCGGGAGGAAGTGGGAGGGGAAACTATTGCACTGTGGTGAATTTTGGTCAATATCATGAGACAGTGTATGTGAACTGCTGTGTGGAAACTGAATTTGCTCTGTAAATTTTCACCCAAATCACAATTTAAAATAATAATAATAATAATTTAAAAAAAAAAAAGA